CCCTTAAGGATGTTTAGGCCCCTTCCTGTGGCTAGCATTTACTAGACAACTTCTGCCAATTTAGGCTAAAAAATTTTTAAAAATGTATACGAGGGGCTGCTGATAAGTTTTTGGCTTTACCCAGAAAGACGTGAGATAGGAAGATGAAACTTTGCATTTATTCCCCATACTCTCCGCTGATATCAACACACTTCTTACATCGGTATTCCAAGTTCTGTAAGCCTTGCAAAAAGAAGGATCTTGGTTGTGCCTATAACAGCTATGGCATCAGAAATGGTGTGAAATTTGGTACCCTTGGGGTGTTTCTTCAGGTTTGGAAACAGATGATAGTTGGAGGGAGCGAAATCTGGTGAATAAGGTGGGTGGTCAATTAGTTGGAAGCCTAGCTCCACCAGTTTTGCCATGGTCGCTTGTGCAGTGTGAGCAGAGGCATTGTCTTGCAGGAACAAGATTCCTTTGGACAGCTTACAGTGCCTTTTGGCCTTCAGAGCTACCTTCAATTGGTCCAAAAGTTCAATGTAATACCTTGCATTTATGGTGGAACCATTTTGAAGGTAGCCCACTAGCAACACACCCTCCTTATCCCAGAACACAGATGCCATCACTTTAGTGGCTGATTTTGGCACCCTGAGCTTCTTTGGACGAGGAGAACCACTGTGCCTCCACTCTTTTGACTGCTCCTTGGTTTCAGGGTCATAAAAATAAATCCAGGTCTCATCCATAGTGAGTAGTCAATCCAGGAAGTTCTTATCAGTCCGGAAACGTTGACAAATGGACCGGGAAGTTTTCACTTGCATGCTTTTCTGATCTGTTGTCAATCATTTGGGGACCCACTTTGCATATAGCTTCTTCACATTCAAATGTTTGTGGATAATGACACAAAAATGTTCACAAGAAATCCCCGTGATGTCTGCTATTCCTTTAGCTGAAATTCACCAATTTTCCTGTATGAGGTTGTGCACAGCATCGACAATCTCTGGAACAAGAATCACTTTCGGTCGTCCAGGATGTTCCTCATCATTGGTGCTGAAGTGGCCCATTTTAAACTTGGCAACCCAGTTCTTAACTGTAGAATATGAAGGGCATTGATCCCCCAATGTCTAAGACATATCACCATGAATATCCTTCGTGGACTTTCCTTGCAGAAACAACAATTTTATCACTCCTCTGCTCTCATTTGCTGTGAATATCGCCTTAGACTCTGCCATTTTGTTTTCCCGCGTGCCTAGATTACTGTTGCCATAAGCTACAAACACAAAATTTTGAAAACATATATTGGACACATAAGGCTTTCATGTGATGTAACATTCGCTATCATAGAAACCAAAAAAAGAAAAAAAGAACACAAAGCCAAAGACTTATCAGTAGCCCCTTATACACTGACAAACTGTATTTGTCCATAAATATAATATTCATTCCCAGGTTACTTTACTAACAACGTAAAGTTATATGTTTCCATATATTTAGTGTTCTATGTACAAAGATGTAGCACTGTCCCAAATATTTCGATGGAGGAGCAATATATTAAGCAAATTAGTGAAATAGTACAGTGGAAGTGTTGTCATGACAGATGGCTGAAACACCATGACAGATGGTGCTAAATGCATTATATGAAACTTAGCACAATCTAGGACTCATCTCCATGGCTAACCTGTTCATTTAATAATACCAGTGGAAGATCTTTTATCCAGAAACCAAAAAAGCCCCCAAATGGGTGATTATGGCCTCTTCTACACTGCCATATAAAATCCAGATTATCTGCTTTGAACTGGATTATATGGCAGTGTAGACTCAAAATAGAAATAGATACCAATAAAATTACATTAATTGAGGCATCAGTAGAGTAAATATTCAAAAATATTTACATAAAATTGTAATTTAAGATAAAGCTGTCCAATTCTGATTCAATGTAAATGTGCTTAGATATCCTTCCAATAATAATAAAGGGACTAAAATAATAAATGTAATAAAAATAATAATAGAGTAAAATAATGGAAATGTAATAACAGTAATAAGAGAGTAAAATAATAAATGTAATAATAACAATAATAGAGTAAAATAATAAATGTTATAACAATAGAGTAAAATAATAAATGTAATAACAATAATAGAGTAAAATAATAAATGTTATAATAACAATAAAGAGTAAAATAATAAATGTAATAATAATAATAGAGTAAAATAATAAATGCAATAAAAATAATACTAATAACAGAGTAAAATAGTAAATAACATTGACTCGAGTATAAGCCGAGGGGAGATTTTTCAGCCTAAAAAAAGGGCTGAAAAACTAGGCTTATACTCAAGTATATACAGTATTTAAAATGACTATTTTATTCCTCTGTTCCCTGCTTGAATTCAAAGAAACCGATGTATCTATTGTTATATTGTTTGAACTTTTGAACCAAAGTAAAGCTACTATTATTTGTTTCACAAGCCTGAGTGACATCTTATTATACAGCAGGATATACCTTGGTTTAAATACTGTGGTATAATTTCTACTTATTCTGCTTGTTCACATTTATCAACCATCATCCTCGGACTACGAGGGATCGCCTAAGTAAGTAAGTAAAGTAGCAGAAAACAAGCCTGCTCCCTCTTCCTTATGACATCCTTGTGGTCATAAGGAAGAGGGAGCAGGCTTGTTTTCTGCTACTCTACTTACTTACTTAGGCGATCCCTCGTAGTCCGAGGTTGATGGTCCTCCAAGGTCGGGGCTCTGGTGGTGGGTGACTGAGTCCGTAGGTGACTGAGGAACTCTATTCTTGATCTACATCTCCTGCAGTGAGGGCATTGGTTTCCAGGTGGAAGGAGGTCCCGGTTGGGGTTGGCTTGATGCGCCTTCCTCTTGGCACGTTTCTCTCTTTTGCCCTCCATTCGTGCCTCTTCAAATTCTACAGCACTGCTGGTCACAGCTGACCTCCAGCTGGAGCGCTCAAGGGCCAGGGCTTCCCAGTTCTCAGTGTCTATGCCAGAGTTTTTAAGGTTGGCTTTGAGCCCATCTTTAAATCTCTTTTCCTGTCCACCAACATTCTGTTTTCCGTTCTTGAGTTCAGAGTAGAGCAACTGCTTTGGGAGACGGTGGTCAGGCATCCGGACAACATGGCCGGTCCAGCGGAGTTGATGGCGGAGGACCATCGCTTCAATGCTGGTGGTCTTTGCTTCTTCCAGCACGCTGACATTTGTCCGCTTGTCTTCCCAAGAGATTTGCAGGATTTTTCAGAGGCAGCGCTGATAGAATCATTCCAGGAGTTGCATGTGACATCTGTAGACTGTCCATGTCTTGCAGGCATACAGCAGAATTGGGAAGACAATAGCTTTATAAACAAGCACCTTGGTATCCCTATAAATGTCTCGGTCCTCAAACACTCTCTGCTTCATTTGGAAAAATGCTGCACTTGCAGAGCTCAGGCAGTGTTGAATTTCAGTATCAATGTTGACTTTTGTGGAGAGGTGGCTGCCACGGTAGTGGAAATGGTAAACATTTTTTAATGTTACACAATTAAGCTGTATTTCTGGCATTGGAGAGGGATTGGCTGGTGACTGCTGAAAGAGCACTTTGTGTGACGGTGCGAGTGGCGCTACCTATGTATAGAACTGTTAGTTGCAAGATTTAAACTGTTGTATCATGCTTATTCCTGCCCCTTTTACCCTGTTTATGTATAGTTGTATGGATTGGTTGCTTGTAGCTGTCAATCAGTACTGTTTGGCTCCACCTCTTCCTGCAAGAGGGGAGACCTTCCTTTTTCTTCTTCATTCTGCCATCAGAGTTTCTACCAGATGGACGTGAGTAAAAGACTTGATTCTAAAGGACACTGATTTAAGTTACCTCTTAGCATCAGTTTTGAGGTTTTTTACCCCTGGGACTCATACTTTATGTCCAGATCGTCCTGGACAATTATTGAAGAGACCCAGGCGCCTTCAAGCCGGATCTTTTGGCACCAAAGGAAGATCCTGAATCTTCAAAACATAGGCCATCTGAACTGGGGTTGTGGTTTGCTCTGGCATTCACAGCCATTGAGGAAAGAGGAAACTTGGTGAGGCTTCTCAGCTTCAAACCCCTTGGACCCAGGACTGGTTGAGACTGTAATGTATGTTACCCCTCTAAAGTTTTCCAGCTCATTGCTTTGAAGAAATGACTTTGTGATAAATAAAACTTATTTTGAGCTATTTACAGCGTTTTGGGTTTTTGGGAGTTCCAGTTTCCTATAGGAGGGCAAGAAGCAATCCTCTGGGGGAAAGGTGCCACGTCCATCCCTCCTTTATTGAGAATAATAGCCCCCAGGTGCGACGGCACACTTTGGTTTTCTCGATGCTCGTATGTTTCTGCAAAGGTGTTTAGAATGGCTTGTAGGTTTTCTGACTGCGCACAGACGACGTTGTCATCAGCATACTGGAGTTCTATAATAGATGTTGTTGTAACCTTGTTTTCTGCTACCAGGACTCAAAGCAATGGGTTCAAATTACAGGAAAGATTAGGAAGAACTTTCTGACTGTAAAAGCTGTTCAGCAGTGGAACTCTCTGCCTCGGAGTGTCGTGGAGGCGTCTTCTTTGGAAACTTTTAAACAGAGACTGGATGGCCATCTGTCGGGGGTATTTTGTGTTTTTCCTGCATGGCAGGGGGTTGGACTAGATGCTCCATGTGGTCTCTTCCAACTCTCTGATTCTACAGTATGTAAACAAGCAACAGTTCCTTCTTTGGCAATGCATGGTTTTAATAGGGAGCCCCGCCCAGATCCAGGAAGCCTCTCTGCCCACCAAGGCATCTTGGGTGGGAAGGAGGAGGCTTAGCCATAAGGAGCTTATAGAGCTAGGACATTGCCCTTGAACCCTTTCTGCCCTCCCTCCCTTTCGTTAAGGCGGAAGAGAGGGGCTGCCTTGAGCCCAAGGAAGACATAGAAAGCAAGGGTTTTAAAGGAGCGGCGGCCGAAGAGGCGGTGCAAAGCAGTCCAAGCGAAGCCTCACACTCAACCCGGAAGTGAGCGCCTCTTGCGTGAGTCTATCCTTGCCGGAATCTATGGGCGCCACGCGGAAGCACAGGCAAGTGACACTCCCCAGGAAAAAGAAGACAGGCTTTCCGCTTCCTCTCACACTGACTCTTCTTTCCAGAAACCACAAGGTGAGTTTCAGCGTTTGTTGTTCATAGGCACTCAAAGCTGCCTGGGTCAGATCTTTTTGGAATGATACACACTAGAAGTAGTCATTGTTTGTTGTTTTGGGCTTTCATGAATGGTACCATGAAGATATAGGTGAACTATAACTCCCAACAGCGTGCCAGTATTTAAAGTTGGTCATGTTGGGTCTGTGTACCAAGTTTGATCCAGATCCATCGTCCCTGGGGTTCACAGGGCTTTCTGAATTTGGGTGAACTATAACTCCCAGCATCCAAGCTCAGTTCCCGCCAAACCCCACCAGTACATAAAGGTGGTCATGTTAGGTCTGTGTGCCAAGTATGGTCCAGATCCATCTTTGGTGGGGTTCACAATGCTCTCTGGATGCGAACGATAACTCCCAACATCCAAGCTCATTTTCCTCCAGATGCTACCAGTTCTTAAAGCTGGTTGTATTGGGTCTGTGTACCAAGTTTAATCCAGATCCATCGTACCTGGGGTTCATAGGGCTTACTGGATTTGGGTGAACTATAACTTCCAGCATCCAAGCTCAGTTCCCTCCAAACCCCGCCAGTACATAAAGGTGGTCATTCTATGTCTGTGTGCTAAGTATGGTCCGGATCCATCTTTGGTGGGGATCACAATGCTCTCTGGATGCGAACTATAACTCCCAATATCCAAGCTCAGTTCCCTCCATACCCCACCAGTACATAAAGGTGGTCATTTTATGTCTGTGTGCCAAGTATCGTCTGGATCCATCCTTGGTGGAGTTCACAGTGCTCTCTGGATGCGAACTATAACTCCCAACATCCAAGCTCATTTTCCTCCAGATGCTACCAGTTCTTAAAGCTGGTCGTGTTGGGTCTGTGTGCCAAGTTTGATCCAGATCCATCGTCTCTGGGGTTCACAGGGCTTTCTGAATATGGGCGAAGCCCTGGCCCTTGAGCGCTCCAGCTGGAGGTTAACTGCGACCAGCAGTGCTGTAGAATTTGAAGAGACACAAATTGAGGGCGAAAAGAGAACCTGCCAAGAGGAAGGCGTGCCAAGCCAACCCTGACCGGGACCGCCTTCCACCTGGAAACTGATGCCCTCACTGCGGGAGAACATGCAGGTCAAGAATATTTATTTATTTACAACATTTATATGCCGCTCTTCTCACCCCGAAGGGGACTCAGAGCAGCTCCACAGTCACCTACGGATCCACCGCCAGTACACCGATCTTGGAAGACTATCCTAATCGGACAACAAGGGATCGCCTAAGTGAAGTGAACTATAACTCCCAGCATCCAAGTTCAGTTCTCTCCAAACCCCACTAATACTTAAAGATGTTTAATGTCCTATGTCTGTGTGCCAAGTGTGGTCCAGATCCATCCTTGGTGGGGTTCACAATGCTCTCTGGATGTGAACTATAACTCCCAACATCTAAGCTTATTCCTCTCCAAATGCCACCAGTGCTTAAAGCTGGTCATGTTGGGTCTATGTGCCAAGTTTGGTCAAGATCTCTTGTTAGGAGTCACACAGCTCTCTGTGTGCAGGGTGACTATAACTCCCATTGTCTAACGTCTGTCTCCCTCCTCCAGTATTTTTTGTTTGTCATGGAGGGTCTGTGTGTCAAGTGTGGTCCAGATCTGTCATTGGCGGAGTCCACAGTTCTCTTTGGTTGTGAGAGAACTATAACTCCCATCATGCTGGGTCAATCCCCATGCCCAAACCCTGCCAGCACTTAAAGTTGGTTATTTTGGGTCTGTGTACCAAATTTGGTCCAAATCCATCACTAGTGAACTTAACAATGCTCTCTGGGTTCAAGGAGAACTATAATTCCCATCATGCTGGCTCAATCCCCCCCCCCCCAACTAACCGCTCCAGTATGTTCTGTTTGCCATAGAGGGTCTCTGAGGGCCCTTCTGCACAGTCCTATATCCCAGAATATCAAGGCATACAATCCCACAATATCTACTTTGAACTGGAATATAGGGCAGTGTGTATTCAGATAACCCAGTTCAAAGCAGATATTGTGGGATTGTATGCCTTGATATTCTGGGTTATATGACTGTGCGGAAGGGCCCAGAACCCAACTTGATCCTATACATCTCTGTGTTGGGTCAGTCATGACTTGGGATGCCTCCACACTGTGGACTAAATGCAGTTTGAAATTACTATAACAGCTATGGTTCATTGTTATGAAATAAAAGGTTTGTAACCTTGAGGTGGCACCAGCACTCTTTGGCAGAGAGGGCTCAAGACTTGGTTAAGTGACCACTTCCCATTATTCCATATCACTGAGTCCTGGCAGTCAAAGTGGTGTCAAACTGCATTGATTTAAAAGCATAGATGCTCCCTAAGTAAGTAGTTAGGTGACAGTCCAGCATCAGATGTTCATCCTGTTGTTGTTTTTTAATTACCAGATCTTCATGGGTTTGTTTTGTACAGGCAGTCCCCAAGTTATAAACAAGATAGGTTCTGTACATTGTTCTTAGTTGGGTTTGTATGTAAGTCAGGACAGGTACATTTTTAAGTGTAACTCTAGTCATATATGCCTGCTTATATAGCATAGGGAAGGGTTGACACCCTTATGAACTTTACATTGCTGTCTGTGCCCCTGTCCAGAAGATGACACCTCACTTTCCATCCCTGTGATCATTTGGTTTTGAAAAACATGTATTGTGGAAACAAGGATTGGTGATAAAGTTTTAGCTGAGACACCTTTTATGTATTATTTATTATTTATTCTTTTTATTTTATTATTAGTCTAAAGCCTTTGACTGTGTGGATCATAATAAATTGTGGCAAGTTCTTGGTGGGATGGGCATCCCAAGCCCCCCAAATCTCTCCTGAGGAATCTGTACAAGGACCAAGTAGCAACAGTAAGAACTGACCACGGAACAACAGACTGGTTCAAGATTGGGAAAGGCGTACGGCAAGGCTGCATCCTCTCACCCAACCTTTTTAACTTGTATGCAAACACATCATGCGATGTGCGGGGCTGGATGAATGCAAAGCTTGGTGAAAATTGCTGGAAGAAACATTAACAACCTCAGATATGCAGATGACACCACTCTGATGGCCGAAAGCGAGGAGGAGCTGAGGAGCCTTCTAATCAAGGTGAAAGAAGAAAGCGCAAAAGCCGGGTTGCAGCTAAACATAAAAAAACCCAAGATTATGGCAACAAGAATGATTGACAACTGGAAAATAGAGGGAGAAAATGTGGAGGCCGTGACAGACTTTGTATTTCTAGGTGCAAAGATTACTGCAGATGCAGACTGTGGCCAGGAAATCAGAAGACGCTTACTTCTTGGGAGGAGAGCAATGTCCAGATCTCGATAAAATAGTAAAGAGTAGAGACATCAGACTGGTAACAAAGATCCGCCTAGTCAAAGCCATGGTATTCCCTGTAGTAACCTACGGATGTGAGAGCTGGACCTTAGGGAAGGCTGAGCGAAGGAAGATAGATGCTTTTGAACTGTGGTGTTGGAGGAAAGTTCTGAGAGTGCCTTGGACTGCGAGAAGCTCCAACCAGTCCATCCTCCAGGAAATAAAGCCCGACTGCTCACTGGAGGGAAGGATACTAGAGACAAAGTTGAAGTACTTTGGCCACTTCATGAGGAGACAGCAAAGCCTAGAGAAGACAATTATGCTGGGGAAAGTGGAAGGCAAAAGGAAGAGGGGCCGACCAAGGGCAAGATGGATGGATGGCATCCTTGAAGTGACTGGACTGACCTTGAAGGAGCTGGGGGTGATGACGGCTGACAGGGAGCTCTGGCGTGGGCTGGTCCATGAGGTCACAAAGAGTCAGAGACGACTGAACGAATGAACAACGACAACAATTATTTATTTACTTCGTACATTTCTACCCACACCCCCCCCCCCCCCGCCTTCTCCCCATAAGGAGACTCAGGGCGTCCTCACTGATGCTAACAACATATACACCATAGAATTACAATTAAAACAGTAAAATCATTTTTAAAGCATTATACAAAATCATCAATACATTCATTTAAGGATACATTAACGTGTCAGTAAACCAAAACCAAGCCAGGAGAATCCAATGTCACAAAAATTCAAAAATATCTTTCTCTATTGCCTCTATCCTCTAGTCAAATGCCTGGCCCCAGAACCAGGTCTTCAGTTGTCTTCAGAAGGACAAGAGGGAGGCGGCCAACCTGATGTCCTGAGGGAGAGAGTTCCATAGATGGGGGGGCCACTGCCAAGAAGGCCGTGTCTCTCGTCCCCACCAACCGCGTTTGCGAGAGTGGTGGGATTGAGAGCAGGGCCTCTCCTGATGATCGTAAGCTACATGATAACTCTTCCCCATGATAACTCTTTCAGGAGTGAATTTCTCTTCTGAGGGGTAGATTTCTCCCACTTCCTGTTGTCTCACCCCCGTTCTTAACTATGAGTAATTTGTAAGTCAGATGTTTGTAACTTGGGGACTGCATGTATTCACAATTAAGCATATATGTGTATAATTGTTTGTCTAGTTGTGTATAAAACAGCATTGAATATTTGTCGCATTTGTATGTTCTGTTTTCCACCCTTAGGGGTAAGAAAGGAAGAATATAAATACTGTAAATAAATAAATAAATAAATATGTGTCTTCAAGTCACCTGTTAACTTATGGCAACCTCATGCATTTCACAGGGTTTTCCTAGGCAAAGAATACTCAGGAGCGATTTTGCCAGTTCCTTCCTCCGAAATATAGTCGACAGCCCTTGGTGTTCCTTGTACTTCCATCCAAGTACTCACCAGGGCTGACCCAGTTGAGTTTCCAAGATTAGTAGGATCTGCTACTCTTAGACCCAAGCAAAAGTATGCTTAGGTTGCCATGAAAGGGTCTCAGACTCTATGGCAACCTGCTTCTAAATGTTTGTCTGAGTACCAAAAATTGCATCATGTTTAAATGCTTAATTTGAAATATATTCAGTATTTAAAATGCAAAGGCGCTTTGTCATTCCGTAGCATAACCTGCAATTACTTTATCATCACGTGTGGGGCAATATCCTCGACACATGACATCTCGAACAGTGACTCTTCCAAGAACAATTTCAGAAAGCGAGGCTGATGATACCTTTGAGATTCCTAACCACAAGCCTGTTGAAGTGCTGATAAGAATAGCTGGTCTCTGTGTGTGGTAGATTTGCCCATTCTGAGTGGATCAGGAATCCTGGTGGAACTGGCTTGATTTAGTAATATTTACAATAGATCCACTGAAATGAGTGGGATGCATGAATGGTGATTAATTCAAATCCCATTGATTTCACTGGGTCCACCCTAAGTGTGACTGAGGGTGCGTCTACATCGTAGAATAAATGCGGTTTGGCTCCAAGTGGGAGTTGTAGTTTTGTACTCTTCCTTCCTTCAAAAAAAACAAAAACAAAACCACTTGGGTTTGAAACTATAACTTTTCTGTCCTGTAGAAATGAGTGGAGATAAAGAGGAACTGTCTTGCATGCCGACTGATGATGGAACAGCAGCTCTTGCTCCTGCAGAAGAGAACAAACGAGCCCAGCAAAAATTAGGTCCAGAAAGACAAGTTTGCACTAGCCCTGGTATGAAAACCCTCACCGACAATACCAAGCGGGTTAAGCTCAGCAGCGTTGGCCAGCAAGAAGACAGGCAAGAAAAGTAAGCCACGTGTTACATAGTCTCGAGACTCAAGTTTGGCTGTATTTTAGTCTAGTGAGTTAGATGAGCAGCTGGGGAGAAATTTTATTTTAACTTGCATTTTTCTTGTGTATTTTGTTGCATGTCTTTCAGTAGTGTTTTATCTCTGTTTTAATGTTGTTGTATCCTGCCTCAAGTTGTAGGGAGAGGCGGGTAAAATGGGAATAAATTTAAAAATGGCTGGGTGGCATGTAATTTGTACCTTCCAACTTCCTTTTGCTACTGCATTTTCCCAAAAATAAGACCTGGGCTTCTATTAATTGTTGCTCCAAAAGACATGCTTTTGGATTATTTTCAGGGGTGTCTTTATTCATTCTTGTACAGCAATCTATATTTATTCAAATGCAGTCATGTCATCTTCTCATATAACATTGTCCTAATATTATGCCAATAATAATAATAATAATAATAATAATAATAATAATAATATACTTCATTTATATTCAGCTCTATCTCCCCGAGGGGACTCAGAGTAGATTACAGAATACATATATGGCAAATACTCAGTGCTGTTATACAATTAACAACAAAGACAGTACACATACAGAGGCAAAGGCTTTCCCCTTTTTATCTCTGACATCTGGAGGCTGTGCTCAATTCCAGCCTTGGGGAGGTGCTCTTGTTCCATTTTTCATGCCGAGGAGCCTGTTGTCTGTGGATGCCTTCTTGATCAACTTGCTGACATGTCTGCATGGGTTTCCATCTTCCCTGACTGATCTTAGTAAAATTTCTAGTCCTAATATAAATAGGAGTGAGGAGAGGGGACAGCGCTGTCTTGTTCCTCTATTTATACTAATACTTCCTAAAGTCTGGCCGTTTACCTTAATCTTCGCCTCTTGTTTAGTATGCTTCTATAGCATTTGTAAATAAGTAACTCATATCTAATTCTCTAATTAATGAAAGCAAGTAGTCACCATTTAGCCTGTCAAATGCTTTTTCGGCATCCAGGGATATAAGCACTAATTCTTTTTTATTATTTTTTTCATAATATTCTATTGTATTTAAAATTATTCTGACGATATCTTTGATGTGTCTATTGGATAGGAAACCTGTTTGGTCCTCATTTACTCAATCTCTGAGAAATTTATTTTAATCTATTGGCTATAATAGTGGTATTGTTTTCGAACTGCTTGATAAGCAGAAGCTAGGGCTGATGGCGGGAGCTCACCCCGACCCACAGCTTTGAACTGCCAATCTTCCGGTTGGCAAGATTTTCTGCAGCTGATGGTTTAACCTGCTGTGCTAATTTATATTTAATTGTATATTCATTACCTTTATTATTTTCAAATTTAACACATTTGTCATGTGTTGCAATGGATGTACTACTGGTAAATGTACCCGTCTAGTTGACAGTCTTAACAGGGACGTATTTTTGGGGTAGGGCTTATATTACAGGCATCCTGAAAAATCATGCTAGGGCTTATTTTCCAGTTAGATCTTCTTTCCATGATCTCTACTTTTGTGTAACTAATTCACAAATATTGTAACTTCATTTCCTCCTGCTTCTCTGTGTAATCTAGCTGGAGAGAGGTAGAGGAAGGGAGAGATTATTGTTTGACAAACTAACTCCCTGCAAACATACTTGCACTTAAAGTTCAGCCACAACTTAACAATGTCAATAATCCTGTGGTTTGATTTTAGGTGAACACAGCTTCCTGTGAAATTATTTTTACAAATATATCACTTGTGTACACTTGATAATGTAGACTTTGTTTTCCTTGGTGTACATGAGGTGGGAATATTGTTGGATGGTGGATTTCAATCATTAAATTGAAACAAATGCCAAACCCATTATACAAACACTCAGTTCCCCACAAGAGTATTTCATCGTATTAAGGCCCCGTTAATAAAGAGCTGTATATCTGTGACAGCTTATTAGTGAATCTCTCCTTCACATATATTGAGTATCACCTAGTTTTAGTCCACTCATTTTCTCTTCCCTCTACTCTAACGTTATGCTAGCAAGGGATTCTTGAACTGCAACCCAACATTTGCAGAGGAATACAAGTTACTTTAGAAAAACAGTGCAATCTTAGGCAATTCTACTTAAAATAATTATTTTATTTATCGTGTCAGAAGCGAATTAACAATACAGTTATAATGTATAGAAAAATCACAAAGTCATAGACTTGGCACTATACTAAATTTCCTTTGACCAGAAGCTGGCCACTTTGAGTGTCTCTGGTGTCACTGTGAGAAGGTCCTCCATTGTGCATGTGGCAGGGCTCAGACTGCATTGTAGTCAGAGGTCTGTGGTTTGCTCTTCTCCACACTCACATGTCATGGGCTCCACTTTGTAGCCCCATTTCTTAAGTTTCCAGGTTTTAACCTGCCACATTTGGACTCTCGCTTGCTGAGGTGTTCTTGTGAGTATCTCTGTAGATCTTAGGAAGCCAGGCATGTCGCCGGGGGGGGGGGGGGGGCGTGAAGTTCTCGAAATTCTCATAGTGGTCTGCAAAAGGCCTTACTGGTACATTATTTAAACTGTTATGTTTATTCATATCATGATCTGATCACCATGCTCAATATATCTCATATGCATGGGGGTATTGGGGTAACGATACAAAAGGTTTGCTAGGGTGGACCCTCTTTCACTCAGACTCAGCCCCCCCCCCCCCCGAATCAAAATCCTGGCTACGGGCCTGTAGGAAGCTATTTCTTTATTTAAGGCACTGGCTTGCTGGCTGATATCAAAACAAAGGATGGTCCGTAGATGTCAATGCCTTGGTTCTTTCATTACTGGCTGCTACTTCCTGACAGATATCAGGTGGTACGGCTAAACAGTATAATTTCTCCAGTGGTGTAGGATGTTGATATCTTGTGATAATACATCATGTAACTACAAGAAAGGAGATTCCATCTGAGCATTAGGAAGAACTTCCTGACTGTGAGAGCCGTACCACAGTGGAACTCTCTGCCCCGGAGTGTGGTAGAGGCTCCTTCTTTGGAAGCTTTTAAACAGAATCTGGATGGCCATCTGTCAGGGTGCTTTGAATGCAATTTTCCTGCTTCTTGGCAGAAGGTTGAACTGGAAGAGACCCATGAGGTCGTTTCCAATTCTATGTTTCTATGTATCATTAAGAGCCACATCCATTGTTTTAACATGGTGAGATGTATTCCACACTGGGCATGTGTTGTCAGCAGTAGAGTAGCAAAATGCAAGGGCAGATGTCTTCACTGTGTCTGGTTGTGATCCCCAGGTTGTACGAGTCAGTTTTCATATGATGTTACTTCTAGAACCCACTTTTTGCTTAATATTCAAGCAGTGGTTCTTATAAGTCAGAGCATGATCCAGAGTAACTCCAGTGGGATTCCTTCCTAGGTAATCCTCAGAAATACTGATATGCAATATTCTGATGTTCTAAAGAAAATATTCAGAGAGTTTATTCTCTGAAGCATTAAGTAGCGTTTTATGCCACTTGTTTGTCCTCTGTTAGACTGTTACAGTAAGTCATAGCAGGATCAAGTGTGTGTTAAAGAAAAACCTTATGATGTTAATTATTATGTACAGCTGGTAATGTAGGTCAGCCAGCATGTTTGGGCCACACCTGATGGGGTATAACTGTATGGATTTTAGAATACAGTTTGGAGAAGCAATATGCTACTCTGAGGAGGAGAAGCAATATGCTGTAATGCTGCTATGCCCTAACAGCGATGCTCTTTGCTACGGTGGAATAGCTATTTACTCAAGGTTTATGTTTTGCTGTCTCATTTGAATGAAGATGAAGAAGCCTTATTCTGTGTTACTAACTCTCTTATTAGCAGAGTTTACGCCTCTGCTGATAAGAGTAAAGGTTTTTTTCTGTTCCTTTTTCCTCTTGCCTGTGTTTCTTTTGCATGGGAACTGCCTAAAATCCACTTCTGCACATACCATCTCAATTGGTTTCATATCCATATTGGACTAGCTTAACTATGTGAAAGCTAAGAAGCTTTAAATCTTGACCCAGATTGCTTTTCTCTCCCCATATATTTTCCTTTTAGCCCCAGGATGTCACAGCAAAAGGCAAGAAACACGACAGGTCCATCTGTTACCACAGAAGAAAAACGGAAAAAAAGTTTTTTTAACATACAGTTTCCTAAGAATAAGAAGGAAAAATGCACTCCACACGATAAAACGGCACCAACATTTACAAGCATCAGTAACAAAGGAAAAGTGCCATTGGCTGACAAGGAAGATAGCGTACTTCAGACAAAGAGAGTTCAAACAAAGAGCTCAAAAATGTCTCAACCCCTTCAAGACAATTGCAACAACAGTAGAGGAAAGTTGTCTACGTCGGCCATCTCTTCCCCAATGGAATCCTCTGTGGACTTGTGAGTTTGTGTCATCAAAATTTGATTGAGGAAACCAATGTCAAATCTTGTGATTTGATTAATTGCATTTTTTTTGTAGTGTGTGGTAGATAATGCGATTAGGATGTCTTTTGTTGGAAAGGTTAGCAAGTTCTTATTTGCTTATTTTTCAACTAAGCAAGATATTAGGGCAGGGGTCCTCAAACTTTTAAACCAAGGGCCAGGTCACAGTCCCTCAATTGCTGGAGGTCCGGATTATAATTTGAAAAAAAAAAACATGCGTGAATTCCTATGCACACTGCACATATCTTATTTGTAGTGCCAAAACACTTAAAAACAATACAATAATTAAAATTAAGAACAATTTTAACAAATATAAACTTACTAGTATTTTGATGGGAAGTATGGGCCTGCTTTAGGCTGATGAGATAGGATTGTTGTTGTTGTTGTGTTCTTTCAAGTTGTTTCAGACTTAGGTTGACCCTGAGCAAGGGCCAGGCAAATGACCTTGGAGGGCCATATCTAGCCCCTGAGTCTTAGTTTGAGGACCCCTGCATTAGGGACTTCATCATATGGAGGTGGTGAACCAGCACAGTAGCAGGACCATAATCGTCCATGTCACACAATGTCATTGCTGGTCTACCACCAACCTGCCATGAAGCTGTTTGGGGCTATTGATGAGCCTGCCAATAATGTTTAATCACATTACAGTGCCTTAACTTATCTCATGTGATGAGGTCTCCTAGCTTCTGTAATGGCATTTCTTCCACTAAATAGATAGATAGATAGATAGATAGATAGATAGATAGATAGATAGATAGATAGGGGGAAAGGGCACAGCTTTACACAACCAAAGCATCACAATTGTGTGGTTCCAGTGACTGTGTGAAGTCATCATCATGTTGGTGCTGTTTTGCATCATGGGAATGGCACGCATGCGGTAATGTCCTATAGTCCATTGGGGATACAGTATTGGCGCCCTGCAAAATACATTGTGCAAAAAGGGTTTATGAGATCTTTTCTTCATGACTATTAACTCATTCTTCTCTTCCATTGTCTGCTCTTACCATTTTTAATATTGCCTCTGCACCAACACTAACCTTGGCTCAGGGTAATTAGTTGATCCTCACAATGTAACTTCCTCCTAAAAAGAACAGTTAACTTTTATCGGTATCATCATTTATTATGAGCAGATTTTGAAAAGTTAAAAAAAGACCAAAATAAAACACACAAACGATTTTCTCATCCATACACACACACACACACACACACACACACACACACACACACACACACACATATATATATATATACTATATTATTTATTTATTTACAGTATTTATATTCCGCCCTTCTCATCCTGCAAGGGACTCAGGGCGGATTACAATGTACATATACATGGCAAAGATTCCGTGCCATAAAAACACAACATATATAGACAGACACAGAGGCAATTTAACATTCCAGCTTTTCTTGAGGGTAGTTTGGCCACCAGGGGAGCTGTCCCTTCACCGACTATTTGTGACACTGATGAAGTACTTCCTCATTCTTTGCATGCTTGCTGGAGATTTTATGGCCTCGTAAATTAGTTAAATTTGCCTCCCCACATAAGCGGTACCTAAATTTCCTGCTTCACAGATGCAACTGTCTTTCAGGCTGCAAAGGTCAACAGCAAGCTATATACAACTGCACAACTACATTTTATCTAGTACTACAAAGCTACAACTAAACAACTATTAAAATCAAAATAAATGCACAAAAGATAACTGTACACTCTCTATGTGATCATTTTTATTCCTCATTAGTCTACTCCCATTAAGTAATATAGAACTACGCTTCTACTTTAGGTAAGACAGGATTAATGTTTTTGTAGTATTTGACGTAACTGTTAAAAACTTTTTGATACTCAATATTAATGTTAATAATAATATTATAATAATAAAACTTTATTTATAGACCGCCCAGTCACCCTGAAGGGACTCAGGGCAGTTTCCAACCATATAGCAAACATTCAATGCCTGCAAAGAACATATAAACAAATTACATAAAAAATATATCAAACAGAGGCAGAGGCTCTTTAGAGAAGTACATAAAATGCCAGTTCCTAAAAACTTCATTTGTTTTTCCAAGTCCTTTTCCATCATGGGTTGCTGTCCTCACCAGCCCAATAGGATGGCTTAGCATGCATTTTGATGGTGGTGAAGTGCCTGTGGTTCACCTCTTCAGCTTCTTTCCAGTTTGATCATCACGCTACAGTAAGTCTTTCTTCAGTTTCATTTTCGGTATGCATTTGACTTGACAACGTATTTGTTTTGACACCACGTTTCCTGTTTTAGGGCTCCCCTTTCTTAAAAGAAGATCAACTCAAATTACCCAAATTGTTTGTAGCATTTGGTTAGATTCAGGATTGCACATACAGAAGAAATTTCAGATTTGGATACATTTTCCATGTAACACAGGTGTGGCATGGGCATATATCCAAAGCTATTGTATAACTGAGTATCAATGCTTTGAAAGAACCAAAGCACATTTCGAGATTGCAGTTATATATTCATGTATTCTTTAGACCCGTCGCAAACTAGGTTCCTGCGGGAGAAAACCTTGCTAGCACGTCCCTGACGTCACGAGACTCCGCCTCTCGCCCCGCCCCTTTCTCCGCCCCTTTCTCCGTGCGAGAGTGGTTTTTCCTTTGCTAGGGCAGCATTGCCAGCGTACTCTCTCAGTTGGCAGAATTCAACTGAGAGAAAATGCGGGCAATGCTGCCCTAGCAAAGGAAAAACCACGCTGGCAAAGAGAAAGGGGCGGAGAAAGGGGCGGGGAGAGAGGCGCAGGCTCATGACGTCAGGGACGTGCTATCAAGGTTTTCTCCCGCAGGAACCTAGTTTGTGGCGGCTCTTAAAAAGGTAAAGGTTTCCCCTTGACATTAAGTCTAGTCGTGTCCAACTCTTGCGGGGGGGGGGGGGTGTGCTCATCTCCATTTCTAAGCTGAAGGGCCGGCATTGTCCATAGGCACCTCCTAGGTCATGTGGCCAGCATGACTGCATGGAGCGCTGTTATCTACCTGCAGAAACGGTTCTTATTTACCTACCCCGGATTCGAACTGCCGACCTTTTGGTCAGCAAGTTCAGCAGCTCAGTAGTTTAACCCACTGTGCCATAAGTTGTAGGAATTATGTGGCCCTTGTCTCAAGTAATTAATTGTGTAATTAATTGTAAGCATATGATTCACTTCAAGGGGAGCACAACTTCCAACTTTTCTATCTTGCTCTGCCATCAGAAGATATCAAATAGGCACTACCATTAGCTGTTTTGTGAGCATCATAACATTTGCTAGACTGCTTTTGAATGCAACATTATTTTTGTTTCCCTTTCTTATTATTCCAAAGGTTCTGCCATCACCAACAAAATGCATTCTAATCTGGGAGGCAACAATCAGTTAGATATTTAGTAATCCGGTCAAAAAGAAAAGGTGTGTCTTCCTGTTACTTACTTTGACTTATTGTTCGAAGTGTTTGCATATAATGCTTTTCTTTCTCTTTGGCTGTTGCTTGAATAAGGTGCGGTTAACTTCCATAGGTCATTTGTTGTTCTTTTTTCTTTGTAAATTGTCTACTTTGTTAAAACTGAGTTTTGCTCAAACAGAGATCTCTATGAGGATTAGACATTCTCTGTTATGTGAAGTGTGTATTGATGTTGTTGCAGCGAGGAGGACATGTATCGTGATGCAGAAGACATAGAGAGAGAGAAAGTGTTACTTGTGTGTGGGACAGGCTCTTCAGGTACATTTCAATACTATTCATGTATGGCACAAAGTATTAGCTGTGTAATAAGTAACACCCACTTCCTTCGCAACAGGTCCTTTCAGCAAAACCAGTTGCTGATGGAGGGGGAGAAATCTCACTCAAAACTTGATGCCATTCGCAGAGAAATAGTATTCCTTTTAGCTTCCCGTGTTCTCCCACAAAATTTCTATTGCTAGAGCCCTCTGTCCACTAAATTCTAGATCAGTGATTCTCAACCTGGGGTCCCCAGATGTTTTTGGCCTACAATTCCCAGAAATCCTAACAGCTGGTAAACTGGCTGGGATTTCTGGGAGTTGTAGGCCAAAAACATCTGGGGACCCCAGGTTGGGAACCACTGTTCTAGATGATAACACACAGTTCTCTATGTAGAGTAAAATGAGAGACCAGAGTAGCATTGGCATTTGAGCAAGTATAATCTTTATGTTGCATTTGTTCATATACCGTATATACGCGAGTATAAGCTCACCCAAATATAAACCAAGGCACCTAATTTTACCACAAAAAAATGGGGAAAATTTATTGACTCGAGTTTAAGCCGAGGTTGGGAAATGCAGTAGCTACTGGTAAATTTCAAAATAAAAATAGATACCAATAAAATTACATTAATTGAGTCATCCGTAAGTTAAATGTTTTTGACTATTTACCGTATTTCAAAAATAAACAGTAAACTAGTTCTGTAAATGGAAAAGTAGGGTCAACAAAAACTGTATGGTATCAACAATAACAGAATAAGAATAGGAGGAGGAGGAGGAGGGGGAGATGACGACTCTGGCCTAAACCAGTACAGGTGGTCCCAGTGGCCATCAGCACACTGGGTGCTATGCCAAAAGATCTCAGCCGGCATTTGGAAACAATAAACATTGACAAATTCATGAACTGTCAACTGCAAAAGGCCATCTTACTTGGATTTGCACGCATCATTCGAAAATACATCACACAGTCCTAGACGCTTGGGAATTGTTCGACTTGTGATTAATAATAATAATAATAATAATAATAATAATAATAATAATCTTCATTTGTATCCCACCCTATCTCCACATGGGGACTCAGGCTGGCTTCCAACATAGTAACAGGCAAACATTCAATGCCTGTATAAACAATTCAGAGCTAGATATATACTTATTTATAATTTAGTCCTAATATCTATTTTATATCCATTTAGAGATCTCTCTCTCTATGTATATATATGTATCTTTGTGTGTGCATTTCCCCTACAATATTTGCAAGTCCTATATATCCATATTTATCTAGACATGTCTATATATATATTTGTGTGTGCATTCCCCCTGTAATATTTGCAAGTCCTATCTATCTATCTATTAGAGAGAGAGAGAGAGAGATCTATATAGATAATTATATAGGATTTGCAAAGACTTGCAAACATATGAGGGGAAAATTCATATATAAAATTATTTATATATATACAGATAGACAGATAGATAGATACCTCTATATATTTGTCCATATCTATATCTATATAGGATTTTCAGAAACTTGCAAACATGTGAGGGGAAAATTAATATGTAAAAATAATGTATACATACAGATACAGATATAAAGGTACATGGAAATCTCTAGATATCTATATGTATATAGGATTCGCAAAGATCTGCAAACATATGAGGGGAAATTAATGTAGATAGATATAAAGATAGATAGATAGATAGATAGATAGATAGATAGATAGATAGATAGATAGAGATATATAGGTACATAGGGATAGCAAAGGCTTGCAGGGGGAAATGCCTATATATCTGTAGGAGATATTAAAAATATTTCAGAGGGAAAATGCTTTTATAAGATTAATGGATATTCCAGATTTGCAAGGACTTCTTCCACTCTCCAGCAAGCAAGTGAGGATTTGGAAAAGAAAACACACTGTTAAAGGAGGGGAAGAGGAGAGAGAAATAAATCATATTGCAAGCAATGGCCTCCAGGCTCTGCTGCCCGGCTTGACCCCATTGTAATCCAGCAGAAGCTTTTTCAGCCCAAAAAAGGGGTGAAAATCTCAGCTTATATTCGCGTATATACAGGAATAACTTGTAATGTAATCACTCAGTGTTGTCTGTGGCGAACCTCTATAAACAGCCCTTGTATATGTTGTGTTTGTTTCAAACACATTCCCATCCCTGGGCCAATTGACACTTCTTCCTACAATCTGTTTTGATTTTTTGAAATGAGTGTTCCTTTTCCAGTTTAAACAGTTTAATGGGAAGGGAGAAATGGAATTAGCTTTAAATGGTGTGCCCAGAAATACATTTTGATATGGTTGCCCTGAAATCAGTTTTCCCTTTTCACTCAGGCTTCAGACTGATGGGAGGAAAATAACAGGTCACTGGCTTTGCTTTGTTATACTTTTAGGCAATGCTTTTTTTGCCCAGGTTTCAAGAAGGAGGGCACCATGTAGTCCTTAGATCCCATCAATCTGTGTGTCTAGCAGCCTTGCCATATCTCCCACCCTAAACTTGGAAAAAATCCTTTTACCTATACAGAATAAGAGCATAGTCTTTAAAAAAAACACCCACATTGAACATGTCATTTTAATAAATAAGAGGATTTTACCTGAACGTTTTGTAGAATAAATAGTGTTCTTACCAAATATCTTCCACACAGGCTTAAACAAATCTCTGGTTTTGAAATCATAGTGCAGGCAAGAAATGTGTTGGGACTTCAATCTATGTACATATCATTACTGTTGTCTAAATCAGAAGAACTGTGTTCCCTGACTTGTGTTTTTTAAAATCAAAATGTAATTATCTTATCTTAATTGCGATTCAGATTTTCTAGAAAATAAGTTAAGTGTTGAATCTGAAGTAGACATCATGGATTACTGCCACAAAGAATGGAGAGGAAACACTGCCCAAGCCAAATGTATACGAAAGGTGTGACCTTCTTTTGCTTTGTAATAATACATTATAAAAAGGCTGTTTTTATCAGGATTTAAGGGAGGTGTGTGTGTGTGTTCCTTGTTTTTGTACCACCTTTCTAGATTTAAATGAGATATTACACACATAAACATATGTAAGCTCATACTATGTTTTAAGGCACCAGAAACCATCCCATAGGACTAGTAGTGATAGATACCAGTGTTTACAATACTGTTCATTCTGTGTGTCAAAAGCAATTGTTTCCCAAATTTTTGACAGTAAAGGCATTTTTTTCTGAATTGAAATTGAAGGTCTTACTAGAGATACAGCTCAAAAGCTAACTCCCTTAGTAGAATCTATTCCCTATAATTTATCATGAAATGTTCATGCAGTAAGAGACCTGTGGATCAGAATGAGCCACTATATAGTGCAATATCTTGTTTCTAAGAGCAAACAGCTAGTTCTGTTTTGAGGTGACAGTTCTGTTTTGTGGTGAGCTCTAGACTTGTGCACGGATTTGGTTTAGCTGCTTTCCTTCAGCTTTTTTGGCTTCTTTGGCTTTTCCAGACAGCCTTAATGGCAAGGGCTCAGCCGCCATGTTTTTTTAGCCTAAAACGGCCCACATGGCTGTCAGGCGCAGCTTCTTCTCTTCTGTACAGGAGTATGCGGCACATGCTTCCTTAACCTCATTCATCAAACCCAGGCTTCCTTGAAAGGAATAAAAAGGGTCCCAGCAAGGGTCCTTCCTTAACCCAGTTCCTCAAACTGAGACTCCCTTGAAAGGAAGATAGGAAAGGGTCCCAGGAGGGGTGTTCCTTAACACCATTCCTCAAACCCAGGCTTCCTTGAAAGGAAGATAGGAAAGGTCCCAAGAGGGGTCCTTCCTTAACCCCATTCCTCAAACACAGACTCCCTTGAAAGGAGGAAAGAAAAGGAGCCCAGGAAGGGTGTCCTTAACCCCATTCCTCAAACCCAAGCTTCCTTGAAAGGAAAGGGTCCCAGGAAGGGTCCTTCCTTAACCCCATTCCTCAAACCTAGGCTTCCTTGAAAGGAACATAAGAGAGGTCCCAGGAGGGATGGTTCCTTGACCCTGTTCCTCAAACACAGACTCCCTTGAAAGGAAGATAGGAAAGGGTCCAGGAGGGGTGCTTCCTTAACCCCGTTCCTCAAACCCAGGCTTCCTTGAAAGGAAGATAAGAGAGGTCCCAGGAGGGATGGTTCCTTGACCCCATTCCTCAAACACAGGCTCCCTTGAAAGGAGGAAAGAAAAGGAGCCCGGAAAGGGTGCTTCCTTAACCCCATTCATGAAACCCAGGCTTCCTTGAAAGGAAGAAAAGGGGTCCCAGGAAGGGTCCTTCCTTAACCCAGTTCCTCAAACTGGGACTCCCTTGAAAGGAAGATAGGAAAGGGTCCCAGGAGGGGTGCTTCCTTAACCCCATTCCTCAAACACAGACTCCCTTGAAAAGAAGAAATAAAAGGATCCCAGGAATGGAAAGGGGACCCTTGTAAGTTTCCAATTTCTGACAGTTGGCTGGATCTTCCTGAATCTTTCAGCTACCTAGCTGAAAACAGATTTTTCTATTGGCCGATTTTTAGGAGGCTCCCCAAAACGGATCCGGGTACCCAATGACATTTGGGTACCAAAAACAGATCGCCTTTCGAACGAATTGCACAAGCCTAGTGAGCTCTACCAACTCTGCAGAAGGTAACAAGAGGAAGTTGTGACTGAGTTAGTCAATCTTTCAGTCACATTATAAGCCATAGATGGTTAATTTTTAGTTCTTCAGATGTTCAGGACTCTCTCTTATTACCTTTAGTGATTAACCAAGAACCAATAGGGAACTCAATCGTAGGACTTGAAAGCAGTAGCATCTCTTGTTTGTCATTAGTATATGGAATCAAGAGGAATGCAATCACCGCAAATGTGTGTTATAGCAAGACCTCCACATTGCAGTTTTTTCCTCATTTTAAATAAACTGTTAACTTCCATAACATGTTAAACCACTGTTTGGTCCTGGTGTCTGCTTCACCTTACTAAAGCTGGCCTGATCTCTAAGATGAAATAAGTTCATATGATTAATTTTTTTTAAAATGCTGAAGCTTTCACTCTGTTTCTGTTGGACAGAAAGGCCGGACAGGAAGATCAATCTGTGTAACCAAAAGACCTGGTGTGGCCTGCTCCATGGCCTTTTGTATTTTGATTTGGATTTTTGCATTGTTTTAAATTATATTTAAATTACGTTTTTTCAAAATGTTGTTTTGTTTGAGGATTGTACTGTATTGGCCTACATTGAAATGCTAGACACAACAAGAGTAGCCTGTTGGGATCAGTGGGAATGACATGGATCTATTTCCTGTTCAGCAATAGTATGAGTCCCATATGAGAGAAAAGCAGGGTACAAAATATATAAAGAAAATTTAAAAAACCCAGCAGTAGTCTTGCACTATTTGCTTATTATTTCTAAATGTTGTTTCGAGCTGCATTGCATTAGGAAGAAAACAGGAACATAAATTGAGTAAATTAGTTCCCAGATGTTTTAACTATGGTTTGGATTAGTGCTACTCAAAAATGATAGTCCATGGAAAGGTGTCAGTCCATGGGACACCAACTATCAGTATGTTATTTATTTATTTATTTATTTATTTCAGTTACTTCTACCCCGCCCTTCTCACCCCTGAGGGGGGACTCAGGGCGGCTTACAAACGAAGGCACAATTTGATGCCTATATCAATTATACAAACATACATAAAAGCAATTTAGACAATTAACAGATTAAAATCAACAATACATAAAATAATAGTAAACAATCTCATGCTCAGTGTTCAGCTCAGTGTTATGTGTTTTCAGAAAAGAAAGAAACAAATTGTATACAATGCTCACAAAGACACTAGTCCCTGGCATATTGGGCTGTAGAGAATAACCGCTGTTCCCCCCATAAGCACTGCTTTTTGGGCCTTATTTGAACTGTGTCTACATTTCAGTTTACATAATTCACATATTCATCAGTCATTAGAGGGAAGGATATTAGAGGAAAAGATGAAGTACTTTGATCACATCATGAGAAGAAAGGAAAGCTTAGAGAAGATAATGATGCTTGGGAAAATGGAATGAAAAAGGAAGAGGGGCCAGCCAAGGGCAAGATGGATGGATGGCATCCTTGAAGTGACTGGATTGACTCTGAAGCAGCTGGGGGTGGTGACGGTTGACAGGGAGCTCTGGTGTGGGCTGGTCTGTGAGGTCACGAAGAGTCAGAAGCGACTAAACGAATAAACATCAACATAGTCATCAGCAGATGGCTAAGCTCAAAATTAACATGCAATGCATATATGGATTAGTCTTTAAAACTGGGTTACTAAAGCTATATTGGAATTTGGGAAAATTACAATATCGCTGGCTGGGAGATCCTGAATCATTCCATTTTTCTATCCAACAGAACCAGTGTGTAAGGATTGGCTTTATGCTCTGGTTAGCTTTTTAAAAAATTCCTTTGTTTTTTTGACTTGTGGTCTATTGTGCATTTAATTACAATTTCCGCTCTTGATACAGGGCTATGAAGCTGTTTCACAGAGATTTATTTCAATAAGAAGAGTACGAGGGGACAACTATTGTGCTGTCAGAGCGACGTTGTTTCAAGCACTTAGCCAAGCCACTCAGCTTCCAGACTGGCTCCAGAGAGAGGAGACCATGATGGTAAGCCTCACAATGCAAGCGTATCTCTTGTCAAAGCAAAGTTATTGTGACTTTGATTAAGAAGGTATTTGTCTGTGCTTTGAGTCTTGTAGTATAACTTTCTCAAGCATGGAAACCTGCTTAAATAAGCTATACTCTCTCAGCCTCAGTGGAAGGCAAAAGCATCCAAATTGTCCAAGAAAACCTTATGATTGGATCACCTTAGGGTTGCCATTACAGGCAGTCCTGAGTTACAAACATCAGACTTACAAACAACTCAACATTAAGAACAGGTGTGAGACAACAGGAAGTGAGAGAAATCTATCCCTTGGAAGGGAAATTCACTCCTGAAAGAGTCGTCATGGGGAAAAGATGTCTCCACTAAAGCTTTAGTGCCAGTCCTTGTTGCCACAACAAGCCATTTTTTTCAAAATCCAATTATCACTGGGACAGAAAGTGCTATCTGAACAGGGGTACAGACAGCAAAAGAAATACCACAAGGGTGTTAACTCTTCCCTATGCTATCTGAAGCTAGCTAACTAGTTAGTTAAATATGTGTGGGCCAAGGTAGCATAGCGGATTAAACCGCTGAGCTGCTGAACATTGCTGGCCAGAAGGTCGGCGGTTCGAATCCAGGGGACGGGATGAGCTCCCACTGTTAGCCCCAGCTTCTGCCAACCTTAGCAATTCAAAAACATGCAAATATGAGTAGATAAATAGGTACTGCCCGGCAGGAAGTTAACGGCACTCCATAGCAATCATGCCGTCCACATGACTTAGGAGGTGTCTATGGATGATGCCGGCTTTTTGGCTTAAAATGCCCTGCTCTGATTAATCCTCTGCAATTGTCCTCAGAAGCACTTTACTACCCGTTGGGTTGGTCTCCCTACATTATCTTTTAAAACCCTCCTGCTTAGATACGTCCTACTTCTGTTCACACCCAGTGTTTATTTTAATTTTTAATTTATTACATCTGGCCCGGCCATAAGGTTTTAAATTCTGTGTGTTATTGTTTATATGTAAGTTATATTAATTGTACTGTTTTATTTGCTTGCTGTTTTGTTTTTACTGATGTGTTGTTAGGCTTGGCCTCATGTAAGCCACCCCAAGTCCCCTTGGGGAGATGGTGGTGGGGTATAAATAAAGTATTATTATTATTATTATTATTATTATTATTATTATTAAAAATGGAGATGAGCACCACCCCTTAGAAAAGGACACAATTAGACTTAATGTCAAGGGGAAACCTTTACCTTTCATATATTTGGCTAGTTACACATAAAAATGTGTCTGTTCCAACTTACATACAAATTCAACTTAAGAACAAACCTACCGAACCTATATTGTTCGTAACTTGGGGACTTCCTGTAGTTGGAAATGGCTTGAAGCCATCCAACACAATTCACAACCCAATCTCTTATGGAAAAAAGGCAAAAATACCTGGATGAAATTCTGTCCCTCATTGTGCAGCCTTAAAGGATATACAGTGTAGGTTTCATGTCATCTTGAGCAATGCTCTAAGGCAAAAACAGAAATCCTTTGGAGCTTCAGATACTTATATCTATAGCTACCACAATCTCTTGTCCATGAGAGAAATAGTAAGCCAAAGCATCATCAAGACATGAAATCCCCCCATTCCAGTTCTAAAGATCCAATACTATTGCACAGCTGAAGAAAACAAGAGTCAAATACTTTGAATCAGTTCAAGCATCTAGAGTTTGTTACAAATATTAACTTTTTTATTTCTTGAAAACTTTAGCTACCACAGAAGCTGATCATAAAATACGACTGGATTGGACAGTGGCAACTCAGACAAAAAGGGATCAATAATGTCGAAAACTTGGTGGTTGAACTAGAAGAATGCTTAATGCTCCTAAAAAGAAAGGTTTGATAAATTCATGTTTTTTATATATATATATTGTTTTCTGGCTGTCCTATTAGTTCACTATAATCTCTAAATATTTAGGAAACAGCTACCAGAAATTGGAGAAGGACTGGCAGTTTTAATCATACAAATTTGACATAAATAACTCATGCACTGTTCTGCATTCCCATGAGCAATGAAGAAATGAAAGGGTGGCGTGGGGTCATGAGATCTGCAGTCAACACATATATTGTGTTTGCATTCCATTTGGGTCTTTGGATCATAATAAAACATTGTTGCTGTTGTAGAGACATATATCCTAATGCATTCTGGGCTGTTTGACACCCCATTTGCCTAATCTTTGAATGTTTGCCTCTACAGTGGAAAAATATGACTGAAATGAAAACCCTCGCAGAGAGGCAAGCTGCTTGTGATGAGCTTTTTCGAAGCGAAGATGATGAGTACAAACTCTATGAAGCTGTGAAATTTCTTATGCTGAATACAGCGATCAGGTTGTATGACGATAATGAGAAAGGAAAGGAGGTTCCTGTGTTCGCTTGGCTGCTGTTTGCTCGGGACACATCCAGCAATCCTTCCCAGTTAATGGAAAACCATTTGAATCAGCTGGGTCACACTGGGGGCCTTGAACAAGTAAGCTCATTTTTTTTTTTTTGCATCTGTAGAACTTAAGAGTAATTCTCTCTTGTACGCTAGGAACAAGGAAAGCAGATGTTGGTGCACTGCAGTCCAAAACGTAGTTGAGCTTTATACCCCAAGGCAGGGTTTGATGATTTCCAGAAGTCCACCTGTCACAATGAGGTGCAGGGAGTTTAAAGAAATGTTAAACATCACATGCGCGTTTCAGTACCTTTATCCCGTTCAACGGTGTATCTGAAAATAAACATTCTTTGATGGTGCTTTAGAGAGGATAGGGAATTTGACTTTCGGTTTGGTAAATTTGGGGTCTGAATTTCCTGGCTTAGGGTTAACATTTGAAAAAATTACATCAGAGTCTGAAAGATCACAACACGGAATATGGCAGTGCTAGTAACACAACATAACACAATTTGAAAAAGATTCTGTTCCTGGTTTAAAAATGTTATTTCCTTTTTTAATTTTGCACTCCTGTAAATACTGTAAATAAATAAATACTACCTTCAACCACAAAAACAAAGTTTCTGGAGTACAAGAATTACTTTCAAAGTAATTCTTGTACTCCAGAAACTTTGTGTTTATGGTTGAGGGTAATATTTACTTATTTATTTACAGTATTTATATTCCGCCCTTCTCACCCCGCAAGGGACTCAGGGCAGATTACAATGTACATATACATGGCAAACATTCAATGACATAGTCACACAACATATATAGACAGACACAGAGGCAATTTAACATTCTATGAGGGTATTCTGGTCACCAGAGGAGCTGTTGCTTCGTCCATTTGTGACATTGGTGAAGTACTTCCTCATTCTTTGCAGGCTTGCTGGAGATTGTTATGACATCATAAATTAGTTAAATTAGCCTCCCCGCGTAGGCAGTACCTAAATTTCTTACTTGACAGATGCAACTGTCTTTCGGGCTGCAAAGGTCAACAGCAAGCTACACAAATTGGTCAGACACTCACTCCGACCCGGGCTGGCTTCGAACACATGACCTTTCGGTCAGTAGTGATCTTAATGCGTCTGACTCCCAGCCAGCTGCGCCACAGTCCCGGAGCTATTATTTCCTTCAGTCTCAGCACTTAGTTTGTAGTTTTCCTTAATGAAAATATGCCATTTTTAACCTTTCAGTCTGCAGACTGCAACAAAGTTTTTGCAGTTTAAACCTTTTCCCTGTTTTTATGATAGAAAAAAATAGGAAATGACATTTATAACCCAGGGACAAAAATTGTGTTACATAGTGTAATTTGACTTGCATAGATTTTTTAAAAATGCTGATTAAGTGTAATGGAAGCTGCTTCCTTGGAGGGTTTTAAACAGAGGTTGGATGAAAATCCATCAGAGGTCCTTTGATAATGTTTTTCCTGCACGACAGGGGATAGGACTAGATGGCCCATGTGGTCTCTTCCAACTCTATTATTCTATGATTCCAAGTCAGTCCTGCTTTGGTAAGATACAACAATATTGTCTAGTACAGAGATTTTGAAACTTTCCCACTCCGAACCCTTTCTGGCATGAATTTTAATTTTTTGTGTGATGCTGGCTATACAGATAGATAAAATAGGTATAAAAACCAAATATTGGCCGATAATACATTTGCAAGGTATGCTAAACAGGCTATTTTTCCTTATATATGAAATATATCTGAAGCATACTCTATGGAGTCCAATGTAAATACTGCACAACAGATTCATGTAAATGCCTAAAAGTATTGTCGAAGGCTTTCATGGCCGGAATCACTGGGTTGTTGTAGGTTTTTTGGGCTATATGGCCATGTTCTAGAGGCATTCTCTCCTGACGTTTCGCCTGCATCTATGGCAAGCATCCTCAGAGGTAGGCTACCTCTGAGGATGCTTGCCATAGATGCAGGCGAAATGTCAGGAGAGAATGCCTCTAGAACATGGCCATATAGCCCGAAAAAACCTACAACAGCCTAAACGTATTAGCTCTAATTTTTGTGATACAGAATATCTGCCATATACCAGTCACCATCTGCTCACCCATCAAAAATAGTCATAACCATATCTTGGAAACTGTGCAGCCACTGTGGTGCAATGGGTTACCATCAGCGTTTCTTATACTGGGGGTCAGGGCCCCTGGGGGGGTCACGAGGGGGTTTCAGAGGCTTCGCCAAAGATGATCAAAAAACATATATTTCTGATGGTCTTAGGAACCCCTTTGGCAGAGAAGGCTGAAGATCTCTCCGCCTGTCCTTCTCTTCCTTTTTGGAAACAGACCGTGAATCCTCCCACCAAAAGCCCTCCTCCTGCTGTGATTGGCTGGCCTCTCAGCCAAGTGGGGTGCTATTTATGAGACTCCAGGCCAGGAGGGGAGGGCAGGTGTGCTTGGTGAATGGCAGTGTTGTGCATATGTGCAGGCAAGGCAAAGCATGCAAGGGTGGAGGGAGGCTCGTGCCAGCGAGTCCCTTCAAGGCATTGGGGTTCTGTGTGGGAAGTTTAGCCCAATTCTATTGTTGGTGGTGTTCAAAGGACTGTTTGATTGTAAGTGAACTATAAATCCTAGCAACTACCACTCCCAAATGTCAAGGTCTAGTTTCCCCAAATTCCACCAATGTTGACATTTGGGCAGATTGAGTATTTGTGCCAAGTTTGGTCCAGATCCATCATTGCTTGAGTCCACAGTGCTCACAGTGGGTGAACTACAACACCAAAACTCAAAGTCAGTGCCCACCAAACCCAGTCTTTTATGTTGGCCATGGGAGTTCTGTGTGCCAAAAATGGTTCAATCCCATCGTTGGTTGAGTTCAGAATGCTCTTTGATTGTAGGTTAATTATAAATCCCAGCAACCAACTCCCAAATGAGAAAATCAGTCCCCGCCAGCCCCATCAGTATTCAAATTTGGGTGGATCAGGTATTTGTGTCAAATTTGGTCCAGTGAATGAAACTACATCCTGCATATCAGATATCTACATAACGATTCATAACAGTAGCAAAATTACAATTATGAAGTAGCAACAAAATAATTTTATGGCTGGGGGTCACCACAACATGAGGAACTGTATTAAGTGGTCGTAGCATTAGGAAGGTTGAGAAACACTGGGTTTATCTCTAGTGCCTGAAAGTCAGCAGTTCGAATCTGTGAAATGGGGGTGAGCTCCCGTCTGTCAGCTCCAGCTTCCCTTGCAGGGACATGAGAGAAGCCTCCCAGAGGATGGTAACACATCTAGGCAACCATTGGGCAGTGTGTCTGCAGATGGCCAATTTTCTCACACCAGAAGTGACTTGCAGTTTCTCAAGTCACTTCTGACATGATAAAACAAACTAGGAAACCAGAGCTGATGTTGTTTATCCAATGCAATTTTCAGAATCAGTACCCCAAATAAACCAAGGAACAGACCTAAAAAACAAGATACCAAGAACAAAAATTATTTAGGAGTGTTAGGAACTAAAATACCTTTGGAATACCTGCTGTGCGTCATGTTTCTGGTAGGAAAATGCCAAACTTGTTAAGAATTATGCTTGACGTTGCCCATGTTGTTTTGACCTCTCCCTGTGTCCTTAGCTCTCCCTTTTGCTTGAATGTAGCTTTGATGCCTTTCCCAAGATAGAACTTGGTAAATAATTCATTATCTTTTAATTATAGGGTAGATCTTTCTGGTAGCACAGGTCTTGTGTGCAACCAAATGTGTGTGGGTGGAAGGTGGAATAGTAATTACTATTACAATAATTGCTGCATTCAACCTTGTATAAATTAGCAAATGAACGTATCAAAACTAAATGGAAATTCTTTAAAGAGGCAAAGAATGACTAAGCATGAAATGGTCTTTACATTACTAGTTTGAAAAGGTTAGTTGTTCCGGAAGGAAGTTTTGAAGGAATGATGGTCTGAAGCCAGCAATTAAGACACTAAACAGTTTTGTGATCACATGAAGGGTAGCTTTGGTTCTCCAGAGTATTTGTGTGTGAGGAAAGTGTAAATTTGAGCTAGCTCTTTAGATGATGCGCTTGCTAATAACTGTACTGATAACTATGAATAAGACTAGTTGGAGTTATAATTAATATTATTTTCTCAGGTTGTGTCAAAAGGTTATCTAAAGGTTGCATTAATTAAATAATAATGACGGATATATTATAAATTTCATGCTTTGAATATCTAAGTCTATACGTGCAAAGGTTAGCCATTTATTTAAAAGATAAGTTGCACGTGTGGCCTACAACTGGTAGCGAAGCAGGAAAAAGACCTGTTCCTATTATATTTATGTGTCTTAGGAGATTTAATATTACTGGACAGTTGGATTGTGATAGGCCCATAATGAAATACAGTCTTGAATTCTGTTGTTGTCTCTAATTAGACTAAACTCATTGAATCAATGGGATCTACATGAATGTTGATCCACCATTTGAAAATGGATTCAGTGAGGTTTACTCTAGTTGGGACTTTCAGTGGGATCCAGGTCATTGGGTTGTTGTAGGTTTTTTTGGGCTATATGGCCATGTTCTAGAGGCATTCTCTCCTGATGTTTCGCCTGCATCTATGGCAAGCATCGTCAGAGGTAGTGAGGATGCTTGCCATAGATGCAGGCAAAACGTCAGGAGAGAATGCCTCTAGAACATGGCTATATAGCCCAAAAAAACCTACAACAACCCAGTGATTCCGGCCATGAAAGCCTTCGACAATACATCCAGGTCATTGTAGACAAGATAATTCAATTTAGTCCTTAAGCTGATGGGGAAAGCCCATCAGCAGAACTTTGAAACTGAATCGCTCGTCACAGATGACCCATGTGCACAACCAAGATTTGTCTTGGAGGACTGGGATACATTTCCAAGCAAATTTTTGAGTAATGTGATGTGTTAGGGTGGGGAAGGGTTAAGTTTTAGCTGGTATGTGGTCGTCATGATGAAATCACCTCATCAGATGGGGGAAAGAATCGGTGGCATGCTCTACTTCATTGCCCCTTTAAGCACAGAGTCTGCTGGCTCCCATTACACCAGTGGTTCTCAACCTGTGGGTCGCCAGGTGTTTTGGCC